TATTAGAAAAAAAAATGGAAGAATCTGTACATTAAATATTTTTTAGAGAATCTTATTGAAATAGTTATTATCGTTGCAGAGGTCGAATCTATAGTTTTTAGAATTTTTGTCTGTCTGTCTGAAAACGTATCACGAGAAAATTACTGAACAGATTTTGATGGATAGCTAGTTCATTCGATTTCCTTGACAAGTCCGGTGAGTATTCAGTTAAACGTATAAATGGTGTACGATTTTTTGCAGTACATTATAGACGTGTGAACGGTTGTATATACAATGTATGTGCCACTATATATTCGTTAAGACGTATACTGTAAAAAACGTGCAGTACAATGCCGTGTAAACCCAGCGTAATTGATCATTTTCATAATGATTACAAACAGAGGAGAAAAGTACTGAACTATTTTCTCTACTTATATAATATTATTAAAATATTTTGATCCACATTCATTCTAATATTATAAATGCGAAAGTAACTATCTGTTTGTATGTCTCTTACCTTTTGACGCTTATTCCGCTGAACCGATTTAGATGCAAATTGGTATTAAGATAGTTTGACATCCTGGGGAGGATATAGAATAGTTTTTATCCCGGATATCATCCCTAATATTATAATTCCATATAAAAACTTCCGCCTCTTAAGGGGATGAAAAGGGGGCGGAAGTCTGTATAGGGAGTCAATCATTTCTCGTAAGGAATATAAAAAGTTTTTATTAATAAAAAAAATAAAAAGTATTCCATAGTAACCTGACTGACGACTGAGTTGCTAGTAATAAATATCTTAAGCATAAGTGTAATAACTTAAAGACGTCACGAGCCATCGGCCGCTGTGGTATGCTTCTCTACCACGCTCTGATTGTTTTGTGTTTCTTCCGCATAAGTTTATAGCATTGTATAATGTTGCTGAGATAGGTTGGGATTTAGGATATACATACATACAGGTAAAAGTACTTGATATAGTTATAACTTTCTTTTAAAGTTTCTGTAGCCAAATGGCTAAAACATTAAATGAAACTTGGTCATTAAAATTCTGAACAAAATCAAGATAATAGAGAATTCAAAAATATTTCAATAAAAAATATTTTTTGAAGATACGCACGTTGGGTGGTTTGTAAGACATTGGCTATTTTCATTACGGGCTCAGACTCAAATCTAACTTTGTTTCTCATTATGCAATAGCATTTTTATTTAATTACGTTTTAACGGTGTACATATAGATATCTCAGAGATGACATAATTTCCCGCAGTAAAAAGTATCCTTTAAGTTGACCCGGATAACCAGCTATCATCATGCAAATTTCTTCAAAATCTGTCTGTTTAATTCCTAGACAGTCAGACAAAAATACTAAAAACTGTAGATTCGGTCTCCGTATCAATAATAATGACTATTTCAATAAGACTTTCCAAAAAATATTTTATGTACAGATTCGTCTCAGTTAGAATTTTATTATATGTATAGATTTTATTCGAATATAGATTTTAACCCATGTTCAAGGAGAAGATTCTATGTTTGTCTTTTATTTAATGATATCAATAAAGTAAATACCGAATGGGGTAAATACTTTATTTTACTTTTGTACTTAAATTTTATGCTACGGAACCTTTTTTGTGTCAGTCGAACTCGCACTTGTCTGGTTTTTTGTATGTGCGTATGTAAATTACTTGCAAATATCATAACTACTTGGCAGATTTTGTTAGTAATCTCAATTATGAGAGTGACATCAGGTTATACTAGTTAAGTTTGAAAAACCTTTTTGCTTAAAATATCCCAAATTTTGAAGAAGTTTATAGGCCATTTAACACCACGCTGCGACATTTTGGATTAAAACTGTTATACAAGATTGCCGCGAGAAAACCTAGTCTATACTAAATGTTATAAAGAGGCAGTTTGTTTGTTTGAACGTGCTAATATCAAGAACTACTATTCCGATTTGAAAAATTCTTATTGCATTAGATAGCTCGTTCATTGAGGAAGGCTATAAGCTATATATCATCAAGCTGTTACCCAAGAGAGCGACGCAGTAATCATAAATGTCAACAAATCGGGCAGACTTCCATACATTAGTACTAATAGGGTGAAGCCAAAGAGGATTTTTGTTATTATTTTAGAGCAAGTAAAGCCGCGGATTCTGCTAGTATAATAATAAAAATATGCTACCATTTTGATATAAGCTACGAAAAAGTGCTTATTACTTAGGCGTCTAAAGTACAGTTAGTCTACAATCTACATGCTTAGTGAGTGTAGGCTAATCAATTCCGGCGCCTGACTCTACTTTGTTTTAATGTTAAACGATGTGTGAATTTTCATTGGATGTTGGTTAAGTAACAGTGATAAAGAATGGCACTTGGATGGGTGTGCAATTATTATTCTATTCATAATAAATTATAAAATAATAAAGTACTGTAAAAGTATCTGTTGTTTATATTTCTATGTTCTGTTTTTAATATTTATTTAAAGTTATTAGGTTTTTAATATATTGTAAATTTTACTTTTTACTAAAATATGAGATGATATATATCTTATCCAATATATTTAAAAGAGAAATTTTTGTATATTTATTTCTTTACTAGCAGAACCCGCGGCTTCGCTCGTGCTAAAACTACAAAAAAAAACTCTAAAAAGATAGGTTTCATACAGACTATAGTCCCCTATTTTACCCTCTTATGGGACGAATTACAAAAAATGCTGCAACACGTATTTATTTAATTGTATTGAAGAGTATTTATACCAAGTGTCAAGTAATTCTGATCATAAATCATTTTTTGGGTTGCATTATAACGTGTTTTCCCGTGAGAATGAGATAATCTCTCACGGTAAAAAGTAGCTTATGTCACTCTCCAATCCTTCAACTATCTCCATACAAAAAATCACGCCAGTACTATGGATTTATATCGGCGATCTCGGAAACGGCTCTAACGATTTCGCTGAAATTTGGTATGTGGGGGTTTTTGAGGGCGTTTTTTCGCAGTTTTCTTTCGCATTATTCCACGCAAAATATGGCCATTAATTTCACACGCTCGGGCACAAGCATCGTGGTCAAGCCAAGGCGCGTATTTTTGTATTTATTCAAGTTTTTAGTTTTTTTTTTGATCTAAAAGATACGATATAACAAAAAAAGAAATTCAAGCGAAGCTCGGTCGCCCAGACACTTTTAGTAAAATGAAAAAATGCTATTTATTAAAATCTAAATAACTTAAACTATATTTTTTTCTACTACAGTTTTGGAGATGGGCGAGTAAAAGCGAGTAGATAGGAAGTCTTATTTAGTCTTGAATATATAAAAGCAAAATAATATAACTTACTCAATTATCGAATAATTACAAAATCTCAAAAACGAAATCTATGATCATAAAATTATATTCTGTAATGCTTATATTAAAGCTCTTTAAAAACGCTGTGTTGGAAGTTTACATTTTAACTAAAGGACTGTGTTCGAAATTTTTTATTTAAAGTTCGATTTTCAACATTTTATTTAGTAAAAACAGTGTTAGCCTACCATCCCGCAATTGACAGCGAGGTGGGATATAATCTGATTCCTCTCGAATCGAGAGGCTTGTGCCCAGCAGTGGGTTGATAAAACGGTTGTATTATTATATTATTTAAACACTAAAAATAGATCTAAAAACCTACTTTTAAGAAATGCGAGATGCAAAGCCCGGCCTTGATAGCTTGCACATTCCAACGACTGCGTGCTCCAAAAATTGGCGGAAGGATCAACGCGTTCCGAATAACGAATATATTGCAGTGCGACATACACTTTCTAATGTATTTTAATTGATTTGCTGGAGAAATCGGTTTTTTCTTACTAATTTCAAGTATTTAGGTTATCGTTTGAACTGGTGACCTGCCCGGACTTCGTACGAGGGGTTATTTGACACAATATACACCATAACCAACGCCCATATTATTAACTTGGCTGGATTTATTGTTTTTGGCTGTTAGATACTTTTTATATGAAGGCAAAGACATAACAGTTTAGTACCTATTTCTCCTTTGTCTATATACTATTTTTTTAAGTAGTTTTTGACTAGCTTCAGTACAAAAAAAATGATGATAATCGCATTTCGGCAACTAGGCAAACACTACTAACATTAAATCTTAACTCGACTCGAAAAGTATTTTTAACGGTTATGGTATTTAATTTATATAATCTAGCAGTACCCGCGGTTTCACACGTGTTCAAACTTTCGATATAACCATCAGTTTTACAATAATGTATGGAAGTCTGTCCGTTTGTTGAAATTTATTATTACTGATCGTTCCATTGGGTAGTAGCATTTAGCATCTTAATGCATGATATGTAGCCTATAGCCTTCCTCAATAAATAGACTATCTAATTCACAAAGAATTTTTCAAATCGGATTAGTAGTTCCTGAGATTAGCACGTTTTAACAAACAAACGAACAAACAAACTCTGTGTCTTTATAATATTAAGTATAGATAAAAATTATGTGTTAGACCTCTGTGGATGTGTGTGTGTTTATAAGAATAGACAAATACACTAACATACGTTAATTTATAACTGATTACAAGAAAGAGATGTTCAAAACAATTTGTACAATTTTGAATATATTTTATTTATACCTTGAGGATATCATATTTTTTTTAATTTACTCTGATGGGTAAAGTAATTACACTTTATGTGATTTTTGTGAAAATTATATTTAAAAAACTGCAACTGAGTGAAACAAGTTAAAACCCCGAGTCTCGCACCTCTGATAGGTACCTATTCTCATGTGCGAATCATTTCCAATATATTTACCTTTTGTCTTACGGTGAAGGAAAACATCGTGAGGAAACCTGCGTGCCTAAGAGAACCTAACAAGTTTTCGAAAGATTTGAAGTCGGCCAATCCACACTTTGCTAGCGTGAACAACTATGGCCTGATACCCTCGTGTTAAAAATAGACCCGTGCCCAACAGTGGGATTGAGCTGAATATAAAATCATAAGAGATACGATATTTTATTATAAGATTTATCATTCAAATCTCAAATTAGAAAAATGAGTAGTATTCGAGAAAATAATGACGGTAATTAAAAATGTAAACTTTTGAATTATTCATATCCTCCATTTTAATATTTATCTCGCATATTTGAGATTTTCTCACGGACTTGTAGTAAAATTTTTCGTTATGGTCTAGTTTTCACAGCGTTTACTTGATTTGTCGTTTACTTGCTTCCGCTTATACATTTTGAACGTACTTTGAAGACACACATAGTGTATAAATATAATAAAATTCTGAGCCAAATCTTATTGAAATAGTCATTATAATTTATACAGAGGTGAATCTATAGTTTTTAGAATTATTGTCTGTTTGTCTATGACTGACTGCATCACGGCTAAACCACTGGAGGGATGATGAAATTTATGTTATTATGTATGATGAGAGCTGGTTATCCGGGTCAACATATAGGATATTTTTACTGCCGGAAAATATCTCATCTCTGAGAAATCTATACTAAACGTTAAAACATACTAAATTTCTTAATATTAAATTTCATTCAAATCTGTTGAGCTGTTTCACCATGAAGGTATAACAAACACACACAAAACTTTCGCTTTTATAACAGTAGTGTCATTAATTTCTTCTGTAAAATCGATTTACTGCAGAAATGAATGGTGGTCAAAGAAAATCGAGCTTATTAGATTGCTGTTAAAATGAAAGTATTGGAATTATTCAATTTTATATTTACAATAATGATAAACAATTTATTTTATAATATACTAGCGGTTTACTCTCACTTCGGGAAAGTTTTATTTTGGGGAAAGATATAAAAATTGCGTTTTTATTTTCAGAAAAAACAAGAAATAAAGTAGATATAGATAAACTTAAAACGCAAAACCTTATTTAAATACAAAATTCGATCAAAATCGTTACAGCCGTTTCCAAGGTACACTAAATTTTATATACATATACTCATTTACAAGAATTGCTCATTTAATATTATTCAACAAGATGCCTGCATTTTTGTAAGTCGCTCAAAAAGTTTGGAAAGAAGGATATGTAATAGAAATCGTCTATGATTTTGCATAATATGCGCGTTAGAACGCATGGTGTTGACCCCGATGTTTGATGAGGTCATTGGCACCATTTCTATATCACTAGGTCATGGTCGAAATATAGTGAACCTTCCATACATTTTAGTTTTCTAGTGCAAGTTTCTATCACTTGTTAGTGCTAAGATTTTTTAAGCTGGGCACTACTAGACATGGGCCCCCCTTCAATGCGAGAGGATCAAGCCATAGTCCACCACGCTGGCTAAGTGCTGGTTGGCGGACTTCATATGTCTCTCGGAGCTAGGTTCTCCCAGACATGCAGGTTTTTTCACAATGTTTTCCTGCACCGTAAAAGAATTGGTAATTACGTTGAAAATGACATTTTATTATACCCAAGATTTGAACCTGCTTCACTTGGTTCCCCAAGCAACCATTGGACTACCACTGCCTCTTTGGTCTAGTATACAAAGACTTGGTATTTGTTATGTCCTATTACATATATACATACATATACTATATGCTATTGTAATACTATATCTATATATAAATAGGCAAAGGCAAAACATTCGAAAAAAGGAGGTTCTCAATTCGTATGTTCACCGATTATTCGAAGACGCCTGAACCGATATGGATTTTTTTTGTTACGAAGGGTATATTTCTCAAGTGGTCCTATTTAAATTTTTAATATTATCAATAAAAGAATGATTATGGTCAATTTTCGACCGCTTGAAATGTAAGTGTAAGTATAACAATACACTCAATAGTAGAAGTAACAAGTGGTCAACCCCAATAAAGTGGTCACTTTCTCAAACATAACATTCTGTGGTAAATCGTTGCATTCGAAATGCGGATGTATGATGTCATTAGTGAAAGTAATTTTAACTTTTTATTCCGCTCGAAAATTGTATTGAGTCATAGCATATGACGTGATAAAAAACATTTATATAGAATTTATTATAAATCGTGCGTAAAATATCTATTGAATGTAAATTGCGTCTATACTTACTCGACTGCGAATATAAAAGGGAGTGTATGTGTATGACTTATGAGTATGTGTAGGTCTGTCGATATCTCAAAAACTGAGCGAGTTTTTTATTCATCCTAATAATGAAATGGTGGCATTATGCGTATATTATAAAAATCGATTCACAATTGATATCATACCTATGATATATACCCAAACTAAAAATATAGTCCAATTAACAACTTTTTAAAGTCGGTGAAATAAAGTGAAAGTGATAACGTTTCATGTAAAGAATAAAAGTACTTAAGTCCCTGAGAATATTTTTAATACCGTAATGAGAAAGTTATTTCTTCATATATAGAAATAAAAGTTATTATTATAAACTAGCTTGAAGTGTCTCACAGCCATATTCTTCTTCTTTCTTTTCTTCTTCAGGTTATATTCTATGTACTAAATTTCATCTAGATTTGGCTAGCTGTTTAAGCGTGAAGAAGTGACAAACTCGCTCGGGTTCATCTCTCAAAAAACAAATCTATCCCACGCGAACCGTACATTTATCTGAAATAAAAGGGCTATGTGCTATTCCAGACTATTATATCTGTGCCAAATTTCATCCAGTTCCGTTCAGCAGTTCTGGTGTGATTGAGGAACAAACATCCAAACATCTAAACTTTCATATTTATAACATCAGTAAGGTGTGATTAGTGTATTTTAATAAGCTACCGTTTGATAGAGATGTATAAGTTCGTTGAACTGCATAAAAACCTGTGCCACAATAAAACCATTCATATCTGATGAATCGTGTTCCACTGACATTGTTTGAAACAAAAGATAATTAAATTATCACTTGAAAAACCTCTTCTTTGTTTCTCTAACCTCCTATCAATGATGTAGATCTTTCTATGGGGAAATGTAACTATTAAACAAACAGTACCTGTTAAGTAGAAAGTTCATTGCTATATGGAATATATTCAAACTCTTTGGAGAGAAAAGACAAGCGTCTTTTTAATTAAGCCATTACTTTCGATTATGTATATATACTATTGTATAATTGTAAAATAATATGACAAATCTATTTAATAGTTAGTCCTCTTGAGTTATTTCGGCCACAGCGGAAAATCTGCCTGAGACTAGCCTATCTGTGCAGGAGAATATCTCCAGACACAAGTGCTTTCTTTATTACTTTTATGATTAAATTGTAGTGGTACGATTGGAGAGAGATCAGGCGCAGGTGCTGGTTGCTTTAAGTACTCTCCGCGACACGGGGGTAAAACATCGCCAACGTCCCAATTCCTGGCCGTTGTTGAGGATTTCTTGAAGGAAAAACTCGATTTGGATCGACACAGGACTCGAACCCAAGACCTACGGATTTGCAGCCGTATATGCAAGTAGACCAACGAGACAGCTGTATAAATATCATACACCCGAATTTAGTGAGACCACCTCTTCTTTGAAGTTAATCAAAAATTAAATCTTATAATATTCATAAAAGCAATTTTTTCCACCATTTCGCCATTTTGATTTCAATCACGTACAAAACTTTCTATGATCGTAAATAAAGTTTCTCCAATAACTAAATAATGGGTAAAACGTATAAATTGTGCGTAATAATAATCAATTTATATAAAATTAGTTTTTGTAATTCTCAACTTTCATAAGTCATAAACCATTTTGTTCGTATAACTTCGATTTTTTTTTAGAATCGTTAAAATAACAATGTATTAATACTTTCTTAGATTTACGCGAATATTTGACATCTATCTATATGTCTATAGGTATCTAAAACAAAGTCGGGTTTGTTACAACACTACAACTCAAAAACTGCTAGACCGATTTTTATGATCTTTGTTTTGATGTATTTATTTGTCTTCAACCCGGATAGCAGAATAACTATTAAAACATCGGAAAAATTCAAGAAAAAAATGAAAAAAAAAACACTTTTCCTTTGCCTAGGAACGAATCTGAGCGAAGCGAGGGTGAGTCGTTGGTTTTAAATAAAATAATCTTTAGTTAGGATTATTTCGCGGATTTATTAAGATTTTTGGTTCCCGACGTTTCGAATGTTTTACAGCAATCATGAACAAAGAGAGAGATTCAGAATAGGTATACATCTATATACATATAATAAAACTAGCAGAACCCGCGGCTTTGCTCGCGCTAACACTATAAAAAACTCTAAAAAAGTATGTTTCATACAAACATTCATGCGCTATTTTACCCTCTTATGGTATGAATATCGAAAAATGCTACAACACGTATTTATTTAATTGTATTGAAAAGCATTAATACCAAGTTTCACGTAATTCTGATCATAAATTATAATTTTTGGGTTGTATTATAACGTGTGTTCCCGTGGGAATGAAATTATCTCCCGCGGTAAAAAGCCTATGTCACACTCTAGCCCTCCAACAATCTCCACACAAAAAATCACGTCAATCTGTCACTCCGTTTCGACGTGAAAGAAAGACAAACAAACACACTTTCACATTTCATAATACTAGTATGGATATGGAGTTAAATCGGTACATTATATATTTTTTTGGAAAATCTTATTGGAATAGTCACTATTATCAATATAGAGACCGAATCTATAGTTTTTAGAATTTTTGTCTGTCTGTCTACCTGTTTGTCCGGGAAGGCATTACGAGAAAACTACCGGACAGATTTTAATGAAATTTGGTATGATGATAGCTGATTATCCGGGTCAATATATAGAATACTTTTACTGCGTGAAAATATCTCATCTCTGAGAAATCTATACTAAACGTTAAAAAGTAATTGGGGACGAATTGTGAGTGGAGCGAGGGTGAGTCGCAAAGTTAAATAAATTTTGACATCTTTAATAATAAATTATTAAATAATAATAAATAATTATTAATAAGCATAATAATACCAAGAAGTCTTATTAGCAACGACGCAATTATATTGTGCATTTATTAAAAAAAATGATAACTCCCGTAAAATTATTATTTTAATCTAGAAAATGCAAAATATATAATATGTTCAGCGACTTCATATAAAAAAGTTACCGAATTCAGTTGTTTGTTTTTTTGTGATTCGATTAAGAAGTAATGGTGATCTCGCTTCTTGATAATTGATTTTCATATTTATTCTATAATCTACACTATACCATTTTACCTCTGGGTGGTATCATAATAATTTCAAAAAAAACATCAAATAATTACTTTTAAGTGATTTTAAAACCCTTAACCCTCTAAAATGTAATCATTTAATTCCAGATGGCCGAAAGCTGTTTGGCGGATACAAAATAACACCATCTTATTGCAAGGCGAGTCGAGCAGCGAAATATAATAGAGGAAACACGATTTGCATGTTTAACCATGAATGCGTGCAAAGAGGGGGAGAAGTTGTCGGTGCTTGCATGGATGGGTTCTTATTCGGGGCCTGCTGTCAATTACCTTTAGACAGTCAATCACATTTTCCAAAGGGTCCAGGAGTTGTAATGACCAGTTACTTAGATTATCCTGAAGCTGAAACAGAAACTGAAGATTATGATGAGCAGCTTAGTGCTTGGCATAATAGTTTTAAGCCAGTTGTTACTCCAGGATATAGACCAAGTCAAGTTTTATCGTCAACTATGAAATCAGATGATCTAAGTACTGAAAGTCACCAAGCTGAAATTATCTCAGAAGGCCTGAATCAAATAACAAACACTTTATTAAGTACTCCACCTAAAGATAATAATTATGTTTTTATAAAACCAGAAAGTGTCTATACTCATAGTACAATAAATCATGCAGTTGCTGAAACTATACTCTTCCATAGAAATGGTTCAGAAGCTAATGATATAGTAAGACCTTCCGACTTTAATGTACACATATCTTCTATGCAAACGAAACCTACTGTTCCTCCCAGTTCTACAACAGTCCAACCTCCATCTATCATTGTATCAACTCACCGCCCTATATATAAACCAGTGTTCAGGCCAAAACCAGTAAACAAAACTACTACCAAACAGCCTACTACTGAAAATTATGTTATGGTTTCAACTGTTACAAAAGATAAGACACCAGAATTAACATCAATAGACAGTATAATACAAATGCTAAATGAAAGTACTCCAAGTATGAAAGAAGAGATAACTCCATCTTCTATGGATGTTATGGAAACTAAATCTTCACCAACTCCGTCTACAGTTTCCCCAGTTTCATATAGCAGTAGCTATCCAAGTTATTATATATCTACTGGACATTACGTTACACTAAAACCATCTACATTCTCTGGTAGTACATCATCATACGGCACATCATCTTATAGTACTAATGATTCTACTAAAAAACCTCTTACGACAATTAAACCATATTATAGTAGTATTTATACTACTTCTAATAGTATACCTTACGATCAAAGACCAATCAAACCCTCTTATTCATCTCCCAAACCTAGTCAATCTACTAGTCAAGATATTGAAGCTTTCAATAGATACCCTACAAATCCAGATAATTTTGGAGATTCAATTACTACATTCAGCTATGTGAGCTCAACAACAACTACAAAACCAAGTACGACCACAAAGCGACCGCCATCTACAAGTTACGTAACCGGAGGACCTGGACCATTAAGGCGACCTATATCTCCACCACCATCTTCAAGCTATCCATCAACATATGATCCTGATACTTTTTCAAGTGTAACTCCAACAGTTATTGTACTTAATGGCCTCAGTAAACCAGAAACGTCTTCAGAAGAAACACAATTTGTTGAAATATCTCAAGAACCTTTCAAAAAACCTATAAATCAAATAACTGTGAATAATCACATTGAATCAACAAATAATATTTTTGTGGGAAAACCGCCGAATAAGTTTGAAAAACCCAAACCAAAACCATCAACCCAGCCACCAAAGGAACGGCCTTCCTCACCTACAGTTGTTATTACTCCAAAGCCATCACCCACTACACCTTACCCTGTTAAAATTTCATCTGCCAGACCAGTGTTCTCTTCAACTTCAACATTGACTACCTCTAATTTAGATGTTACAGATGTTCCTTCAGAAATACAAACTTCATCAGATGATTTAATTAATTTCCCACCTGTAAGAAATCCAATGCTTAATGCTACTGGCTCCAATCCAAGTGTTTTTAATACAAGCGTAGTTACATTATCTGAGAATGAGTTAGATATCTATCATGATGTAGAATTTTCAACACCTTCATGGCAAGAAGATGATAAACTCAACGATAAAATGAACTTATTCGTTAGCAAAATAGTTGGAAGTCTTCAAGGAACATTCCAAGAATTACATGATATAGTTATTCTAGACAAAAAACCAAATGCAACTATTATTAGAGACAAACCAACTACTGCTAAGCCCCCGAAAAAGACTGTACCAACTAGGAAACCGACAACAAAAAAGCCCCTTAGAGCTACTACGACTACAAAAAAACCTTCGAAAACAACTAAAAGACCTGTTAAACTGACAACATCTGCCAGAAGACCAACAACAACCACTCCTCCACCAACAACGATTACAACAACAACAGCATCAACAACAACTAAAAAACCGGTACGCAAAAAACCTAAACTATAAAACTTTAAAAAAACTATACTGCTCTAAATATTATAAGTACTTGTCCAATAAAAAAACGGCCTTTTTTAAATCGCGCTCCATATTTAAATAATATACCTGATCTCACTTTCATATATTTACTTTAAAAAACGCAGTAACTCTTTTGGAATAAAATATCTTTCTATTTTACATTATTATATCAATACCATATAATATTTGTAGACCAAAGGTCTTTGCGCTCTAAATACTTTGCTTCCAGGTGACTACTACTAAGAAAACAAAACCCACGAAGAAAGTAACGACAACAACTGCAACATCAACGGTTACAGAACAAAGCGAAGAAGTAACTACAGAAGGATATACAGAAATAAATTACAATGATAAAAATTGTGAGTACTTAGTGCTAGATAATATTTTACAAAATAAAAAGATAATTTTAAGTAGATCCTTATAATCCTATTTTCTAAAATATGTCAGCTTATAATCATATTATGTAGTATAATTATTATTTATATAGTAAATTTTATTCTAGTGTGCGGAGTCCGTCCTCTAATGAAATCTGGACGTATAGTAGGAGGTAAAAATTCCAGACATGGTGAATGGCCGTGGCAAGTACTTGTCAGAGAATCTACGTGGCTTGGCCTCTTGACTAAGAATAAATGTGGTGGAGTTCTGATCACTAGTAGATTTGTTACGACAGCAGCTCACTGTCAGCCTGGGTACGTTTATGTCAATTTAATAATATTATGTATTTTATTAGTACTGAGTAATTAATATTTTTTTAGGAAATAAATAGCGAAATTTAAAACTTAGATAAGAATTTAAATCTAGAGAGAGTTAAAAGTAGAGACTGGCCCTTGCTTCGCTCAAATGCTTCGTCACGTGTCACTCTAAGTCATCATCTTACGGTATACTACATTCTTTCCAAATTCGTCCAGTCATTTTAGCGTGAAGAAGAAACAAATATACACATAATTATATACATATTATTGATTTCTAATTTCATATTATTTTTGCAGATTCCTTGCATCTTTGGTAGCAGTTTTCGGAGAAACCGATATATCTAGTGACATTGAACCGCGAAGACCAGTCTCTAGAAATGTACGTCGAGTTATTGTTCATAGACAATATGATGCTGCCACATTTGAGAATGATCTCGCTTTATTAGAATTAGATTCTCCAGTACAATTTGATGCTCATATTGGTAAGTGATTAAAAATTATTGAAAAATTTTAAAAGTACTTTGGTACCGGTGTCTATTTCTTCCAAGTTAACTAAATAATAACTTTTGAGATGTCTACAACCTTACTGTAAAGCAATACTAACAACACTCAACAACAATATAAAAAAATGTAAACAAAAAAATGTGAAAAATGTAATGTAAGAAAAAATGGAAACAAAAATAAAAAAAATATAAATTAAAAAATAAACAACGACAAAATCCGAAAAGATACTTTCATTTAAAATGATCTAAAATTATTATAGAAACATTTATCACAATAGACGTTGTATTAGAAAAGAATAGTTTCACCAGAAATTTCTTATTTCCGGAGCAACTTTTCCCAAATTTTATTTCCTAAAAACCTTATAATAACAAACATTTTAAATTATAGCAATTGTACTTTAATAATATGAAACATAAGTTAATTTTCTTTTTGGAATAACAAGAATTCAATGGTTGTTTACAGAATTAAAGTTTAAGCAAAAAGGCATTAAATAAACAAACACATATTTTTACATCTATATTATTTTATTAAAGCATAGAAATAAAATAAAGTTAAAATCCACAGTGCCAATTTGTATGCCGCCTGACGAAGCAGACTTCACTGGGCGAGTGGCGACAGTGACAGGTTGGGGTCGTCTCTCCTATGAAGGAAAAGTACCTTCTGTGCTTCAAGAAGTTCAGGTTCGTATTTCAACTGTTAGATAGGTAGACACTTTCACACCAACGGGTAACGCAAGCATAGCAATATAAAAAAAGAAATCTATACAGATAAATAAAATTGAAGTAAATGTTTGTAATATCAAAATATCAATTTTATATTAAATGCATATGAAAGTATACGCGGTACATATAAGAAAACACAATTTTTAATTTTATGTCAGTCATATAAATGTCAAAGTGTGTATATGTATTTGTTTGTTACTCATTAACGCAGATTTTATTTTATTTTTTTATTTGGATTCCAGGTTCCTGTTATCGAGAATAGCGTCTGTCAAGAAATGTTCCACACTGCAGGTCATGCAAAGAAAATCCTCAACTCCTTTGTTTGTGCTGGTTATGCTAACGGACAGAAGGACTCCTGTGAGGTAAATTAAAAATTAATTATCTATATAAATAAATAAGGCAGTGGTAGCCCAGTGGTAACGCGCTCGCTTGGGAAACCGAGTGAAGCGGGTTCAAATCCCGTGTCTTACACCTCTAATATTTTCATGTCTGAATAATTTCTAACATGATTACCACTTGCCTTACGATGAAGGAAAACATCGTGAGGAAACCTGCATGTCTGAGGTAACCTAACAAGTTTTCGAAAGACATGTGAAGTCCGCCAACCCGCACTTGGCCACCTTGGTGTACTATGGCCTGATCCCTCTCGTATTGAAGGGAGGTCCGTAGCCAGTAGTGGGACGTTAAAAAGGGCTGAATACACATACACAAATAAATGAAATTGAAGTGCTTGATTTTAATGTTAAAATAATAGCTTTTCACTAAATTCATATAAAGTATACGGTACTTATAAGAAAGAAACATTTTTTTGTGTATGTGTCTATTTGTTTGTCCAACTAATCTCCGAATTGGCTGAACCAATTTTTACGGAACTTTCACTGGCAGATAGCTGATGTTATAAGCAGTAATATAGATTTACTTTATTACTTTTATTTTAGAAATAGAATAAGGGTTCCGCGTAAAAATATAAAAACCTAGCGATATGTATGTACTTTCTAGTATAATCTTATTAAGCAATTATGAGTTATAAGAACTGAAAATTGATGATTGTAACATAAGACTGGTCTAAACAAATCTCATAGACTGGTTTCGTGGTTCATATCATAAACTTTTAAATTACTTATCTTCAATAAAAAATGAAAGAAGGGGGTTATAATCTGTTATATTTATATCTATCATGTACTATCTTTATATCTTTCCAGGGTGATAGCGGTGGTCCTTTAGTTTTACAAAGAGATGATGGCAAATGGCAGCTTGTAGGTACAGTGTCACATGGTATTAGATGTGCTGCGCCATACCTGCCCGGCGTGTACATGAGAGCAACATATTATAAACCCTGGTTAAAATCTATTACAGGGGTGCATTGAGATTGTTATTATTTATATATAGATGACCTATACTGTGCACGGGATTCGAACCTGCTATTGACAATGACGATTCGAACAATCAAAAATGTTGCAAGTGAAAAATAGTGTATTTTGTATAAAAAGAAAGCGGAACTAAATAGGTTTTCCGCGTTAATAAAGGATTGCTAATTACTTAACCATTTCACTTTCAAGAAAGTGAAATTTAGATTTTTTTACTATTATTTATTTAATAAACCTTCGTTAGTACGTAATTGTTATCATCAAGACCTAATGATTATGTAATATTTATTAATGAAATATCTTTTTTACTAAGTCGGTTAAAATTAATATATACGAAATCCCACCCCGTATATAATGTTTAATTTTTTGGTAGTATTTATTCGCTTCTATGTTTTTTTTTTTAAATTGAGCTGTCAATTAAATAGTGACATAACTCAAAATGTCATATACTCATATATTTACATAAGTATAGTAAATAAAGGTGGTCCTTCATTACATATTTAAGAAATTAAAGATGAATCAAAATCTTTTTAAAATAAGTATTTGTTAACTTTATAGATTAAATTATTAGAGCACTATAATTATCCAACAAAAATATTGTCTTGTGTGTTTAGGTAATTATTGTAGTTGAAAATAATATACAAAAATTGTAAATTGAACCTTCAGTGCAATGCATAAAGTTGTATTCACAACAAAAAAAATTAAAAGCGCGCACAAATGTCCATTCGGTGAGGACACTTTTTGTCTCTGATTGTGTATCTAGTACTTTTTTTATCAATAACTTAAGCCAATAAAAAAATACTATGTTATTTTTGTTTATATTCTAAGTAAAAATTGAATTATTTTTATAGTCAAAGAGCTTGTTGCTTTGATATATATCAGGTTTTTAAATGTTATTTTCATATTATTAATTGAGGACTTCTTTACAGTAATCACTTATACTAATAATCATAAACAAACCGCGAAATCGCGGCTTTTAATTTACATAGTAAATAAAAAATAAGATAGCTCTCTAAGAAAATAATAGATTTATTTTTCGTAATATTCCGAAATTTATAAATATTGTAAATTATGTAATAATGTAAATGCATTTATTTATTTATTTTTATTAGATTTAAGTAATTTATAATTTTATGTTAAGTAGTAAAATTTTAAGTCTTTTTTATTGTAAGTTTGGAATTGAACCCGTATATCATATGTTCTGAAAAGGCCTATACTTTATACCTGAACGAGCCTTGTATTGTGTAAAAACATCTTTATTTTTTAAATAAATGATTTACAAATAAGATTTTTTTATAAAATCCCTAAAAACTAATCAAAATTCTAAAGTAACCTAAGCATTTTTGAATGACTTTGAGTTAAAATATATATATTTTAATTTAATTACACGTAATACATAGAAATGAGGCACAGTAAGATAATATAAAGCAAAAGATGTGTAACTTTTCCATAGTACGCTTAAAATAATAAATTTTAAAAAGGTCTTCCTAGATATATCTAAGGACATCGTTTTGTTATTAAAATTGTATTGCAGATTATGTTTAATTTTTGTGAACTATATTAATTGATTACATTCAAATCCTTACATTGTATCAATCATACTTGGACAAATAAAATCGATTTTATATTAGTTAAAATAATCGATATAACATTTTATTAGTCAAAAAAGTGCAATACACGAAGGTTTTAATATTAATCGAATGCTCAATTTTAGTGTTTTATTATTAAATAACTGATTGTTACGCATTTAATAAAATATTTAAGGTAACTTAAATTGTTTTATTTATTTTTTTAATTTAAATTACCATATTCCCGTTACATGGGCATACGTAAATGCATGGTTATCCTTACATAAAACTCTATCTTATTTTCTGTATGAAGCAATCTATAAAAAAATCTATTATACATTCAGTAACGTTAGATAATGTAATTTGTGGCAAGTAATTAATGTTTGAGCTTAACGATTTTAAGGTCGCTAGTTTTTAAACGCTTTACAAGCGAGCTACAAGTCAGATATATGTATTATGTACACATTATGTACATCACTATTAACGAATCTGCATCGTAATTTTTGCTAAATCTTGACCTGCTGGGTGGCTGGTACGTACGAGTACAGATCTTGAGTTCAATTCCTGGCTCGAGCTACCACAGTTATTGGATTTTTCGGGAAATAATTTAGTAAAGAATTTTCGGAGTAAAGAATTTTTCCAGTGTAAGATGTTCCCCTTAAAGAGTACTTAAAGTTCCTGCGCCTGATCTCTCACCGGTCAAGTCAAATTGTCATCTTAGAGAACATTAATAGAGAAAATAACAGAGAGTGCAATATTGTACCAGTCCATACATTTGTACACTATAATATCTCCTGTGCATATACTCGTAGCTAGTTCTCTCATGAGATTAACCTTCATGACCAAATTCGGTTAGAAGGACAATTATAATTAATTATTATTTTTATTTTTGTTGCCTGCCAGTTGTATTAATCTCTAAGAATATATGAAAATCTAGTGAAATTATACTTTATTCGAATAAACTTTTTTTTTTGAAAAGTCACTTTTACATTTAAAAAATTTAAATGTAATGCCAGTATGTAAATTACCGGAACCGGTAAACTACCGGTTCGGAAGTCAGTTTTGCTGAGAAGAGCCGGCGAGAAACACAACAGTTGCTCGTTTATATGGAATTTGGTAGCTGGTAGCTAGCCCTTGGGGCTTATAAGCAATTAAATAACTTAGGGTCACTATTATAGGTTCCATATGAAAAAAAAAATTGTCTCATAAAACATTTATTAAACATTTTTTTTTTGTATTTTTAATGAGAATATCGATTATAACATTTTAAATATTCACTAAGCTATTTAAGCAATCGATTACATTGTTTATACTTATTGATTATTATATTATATATCGCTACTTGAACATTTGATAATATTTAATACATTTAATAATTTTAATATTTGATAATATTTTTTTTATAATTTTTATTGATGTGGCACAGCAGTATTTAACATATTTTATCTACTAAACTACTATATATATATTTTATTATATTTTTAAAACGCATTCTAATCTAATTCTAAATCTAAAAGCTTACAATAGTTACGTTTACAAAGCCTACATTTTAACTACGCACTACAAAATTTAACTATGGATAACTTGATATTGTATATTATTTTTGCGCTTTTATTAAAACAAAATCTTATCAAAATAAACATATTAATCTGTTAGAAGCTGTATAATTGTGCTTGACAGTAAACAAAAATACATTTAAAATTAATTAAAAAATAATACTATTAATTCTTTTAAATTAGTTACAAATTATTTTTTTCAATAATTTAAATTGCAAGGTTTATAGGTTTCCCTTTATTTATTAACTCTACCTTTATAATGGAAGCATTTTTTACAAATTGCATCAGCCCTGTCTTTTATCGTTTGTGTAGACACTGCTCTTTCAGATTCTGGCTTAGAGTCTTCTCCATCAAAAGGACCTTCACTGAACTGCTGTATTAGCTTTTTTATATAACTGCCAGGACCTTTAATAGTTAGTTTAGAAGCATCTTCTTTACTATCTTTATTAGTACGATATTCACTTTGCTTTCCATCTTGAAAATTTTCAAAAGCATGACTAATTTTATCGCCAATATTAAGTTTTTCTTCTGCGGCATTAAAACGAACTTGATCATCGATTTTCTTAGAACCAGTTGGCGTTATTATTATTTCATTGTTTTTCATGTCTATAGATATAGTAGCCTCATCCAGTTTTAGTTCAGATAGAGAAATGTCAACAGATTTGGAACGCGATGGTCTAGATGGTGTACCAGAAGTTGGTACATTTAATTGATTAGTATCTGTGTTGCTATCTCGTTTTACAGTTGTAGATGTTACAGGGGAAGTTGAGATGGAAGATCGATCACCAGGGCTGGAACCTGAAAAATAGACGTATTTAAATACCATGGTAGAAAAAGCTGTAAACAATAATCTAAGCTTCTAAAAGTTCTAACACTGAGCTATTTTATATTTTAGAATATATTTTAACAATTTAAAGCAGATTTTTTATCCACCACCGTTTATTAAATGAATTACCTCAGTATTTAGCTCCGATTGGATCACTTTTCGGTCCTAGAATAAACCAATTAAATTAAATCGTAATAACACGAGGCGATTAAATATAACCTACAAACAAACTAACTAAACTAACGAAAACTTAATTTGATTACACATACATACTTGTGTAAGCAAAACAAAGTATAAGAAAAAAAATTCTAACGACAATTTCTGAAGACTTTTTGTTAAAACAAAAGCTTATAGCTAAATTAAAGATTATAATAATAAGTAATAATATTATTAGAAATAGATGCGTTAGAAAACCCAGTTACCGTTAGATGCATCTTCTCTCTCTTCCTCCGAGCATTGCGGGAGAGATTGTTCTACCATTAGCCCTTGCACCATGTCCATGTATGAGTCAAGGGAGTATTTTTTTCCGCACATACGTATACCGCGGATTCGTCTACGCATTTCTATGACAAAGTTAGTAAAGCGTGTTATGATACAAATTAAATGTGATATTTATGCATTAGTGTTAAATCTCTTACAGTTTATTTGAAATTATCTAGATGATCTGGAAACTTTGTTATAGAATTAAATATGCACCATGGACAAAATTAAAAAATAATTAATCTAAATATTTTCTGAGACAAATTATAATATGATTTATGAGTTTGGAGTAAAAATTTGCAGACAAGCAGAGAAAAAATATATAAATTGAGAAATTAGTGCGAAATTTACTATATATATATGGTAATTTAGGAAATAACCACGTGATTATAAGTCCAACTTACCAGGACTGTCTTTAGGCTCCATCTTTAATTGAGCAAAAGTTTGAGCGCAGGATGATAGTACTTGTTCATAGTCGCAGATAGCGACGTGAGTTCCATTGACAATTTTTGGACTCATTGGGCTATTAGCCAGAAGAAGACTAGTGCCAAATGTGGCATTAAGTTCCCGAGTTTCTGAAATATTGGAATTTAATTTTGTTATAAACTTCATTTAACGCCTCCGTTAAATTTCTAAGAAATTAATTAAATTTCTACGAAATCTATTGTTAACTGTATCATAAAGGCATAAAATTAAAGAAATATAAATCGACTTACAGATGTTTATTCAAACAAAAACTGAACGCGGTTTTTCATTTCAAGAGATACTTGATCAGTATTTAAAGTTAATTAGCGACTCGCCATCGTTTTGATTTGGGTTCGTCCCTAGATAAAAACAAATCTATCCCACGGAAACCGTATATTTTTCTTGGATGAAAAGTAAATTTGCTATTTTAGATTATAATCTATTTTTGTGGCAATTTTCATACAGATCCGTTAAGGCGTTCTGGCGTGAAAGAGTAACAAACATCCATCCATCCTCACAAACTTCGATATTTATAATATTAGTAGGATACCTAAATGCAATTGTTCTTTGTTTTGAATCTGCTGTACGGCTAGTGTCATAGTGCTTATAAAATATTTTTATAAAGGAAAATGGAAAATTGGAAAAATTTTTGATATTGACATTCAACTTTTCGACATTTTTATTGTTTTTCTGAACAAGTGACACCAAAAATATAGCATATTGTATGGATAGAAGACGCTCTATAATTAGAATATAATGGCATAAAGTGCCAAGTTTCCGAAGTATCTAACTAAAGATCGCCATATAATAAAACTGACTCCATCCATGTTCATGTGCATGAGATGTAATTAAGCAATAGTTTTTTTCTTTCCATTGATCTCATATCTTTAGCTCAGGATATGAAGGAACGTGACATTTTAGGACACCATCGTGCGCCGTAATTTGAAAATAAAATAACAACGGATGGCTTATGCCAGCTTCCATAGAAAAATAATCAAACTCCTTATCGCCGTAATGAGGTCATTGAAACATGTTACCTTTGAGAGAAATCCTTGGTTTCTTCGGTACAACAATATTGCCTTTGTCAGATCCATATACTTCCACTAAAATTTCAGACGCAACGTTCTTGACCTCGTTCCAATCATCTAAATAAAATAAAATTACTCACAGTTTATCGATTTTACCTTAATAAGTAGGTATATCTAATATATAACATTCTCGTGGCACAGTATTAGTAACAAAACTCCTCCGAAACGCCTTGACAGATACTTATAAAATTTTGTATGTATACTCAGTAGGTCTGAGAAAAGGACGTAAAATATTTTTCATACCCCTAAATGATAACCCACCCCAAAAAAATATTTTTTTTTTTTATGAATCGGCATTAAAAAATGAGATACATGCAAATCTAAATTTACAGCAGGGATGAACCCGAGCGGAGCGAGGTGAGTCTCTAGTTAAACTATATAATTGTTACCAATAGTACGTAAAAGGAATTTCAATTATGTGTATATTCTATTCTAGCTTACACTAGCTTCGCTCAGGTTCACCTCTAGACCCCCCCCCCCCAACGTGCGTTCACCTTGTCGTGGTGGGGGGGCTCAGTAGTGCCCGGCAACCCAACCGGGCGCGAAGCCAAGAAACGCACAGGGAGGAGGCCCACTTCGGTGGGCGGTAGGAGGTGGCCCTCTTCGGAGGGCAGTGTACCATGCGGGTTGCTCCTGGTACTTCTCTGATAGCAGAGTGGACTGTGGAGCAACCCCGTGGTTGTTGTGGTCTGCTACGGCAGACCTGCCGTCAGGGCGTCGTAGTTGAATGCGTAAGCGATCCTGCGACGCCCCATTAAGACGGGGGAAGGTTTTGTTGGGTTTTAGTGGGTAGTACTGGTTTTGCCGGTGAGTCCCACACCTCGTGCGTAAATGCATTTCCCAACGTTAAAAAAAAAGGTTCACCTCTAGAAAAATAAAAACAAATCTATCCCACGGGAACCGTACATTTTTCCGTAATGAAAAGCTTATATGCTGTTCCAACTATAATCTATATCTGTGCCAAACTTCATCCAGATCCGTTCAGCCGCTCTGGCGTGATTGAGTAACAAACACCCAAAGATCTAAACTTTGACATTTAAAATTGATATACATAAGTAATTAGTACGATAAATTAAGTATTATTTATATGTTATTAAGTACAGTTACATACAAAATACAAAGAGTTTTTGATTTTCAAATCAAACAAACAAACAAATATTTCTTACAAAGATATAATAGGTATATTAGTAAAGATAAATAAATAACCGAGAATATCCTGATTTGTAGTCCTCTGAGATGTGACGGTGAAGCGGATGACGTATACACCCTTGAAGCAAGCCGGTACAGCGTGAATGTAACCGCGTCCATTTAGGCGCTTGAGCAGACGCTCAGTGAGAGTATTGTCTCCTTTAAGACGGAACGCCACCATGCCTGCAAAATGTATAAGAAGAAATATTTTAATTATTATATTTTTTCCTTTATCTATCTATATCTTACTTTCTTAAATTTACGCGAATATTTGTCATTTTACATAAATCTATCTTTTTGGATTTTCTGCGGATACATTTGGGTTTTTGGTTCCTGACGTTTCGAATACTTTACAGCAATCTCTAAGATCTAAATAAATCCGCGAAAAAATTCGACAAAATTGTTTTACTTAAAATGTCAAATATTCACGTAAGTTTGTAACTTCGAAATACACTTTACATTTCCACTTGTGTGTATTGACTTACCCAAATTTCTTGGTTGTGGTATATCAAATCGTGGGTCAGCTAAGACCAAAGCTTCAAATTTCTGAGCCAAACGAACGCTCTGAAAGTTTAACACATTGAGTTGTTTTTGACTTAACTCTAAAATCAAGAAGTTCTTCAATTCGGACGTATGTTTGTATATTTATGCTTGAGATTAAATATGTATGTACAAGGGTTGAAGATTTTTTATGGTATATCTAAACTAATACCTTTAAACGAACAATTCTTGTATATTTATTTATTTATATATAACGGCGATCTCGGAAACGGCTCTAACGATTTTATTGAACGGTATATTTTCAGGGGCGAAAAATCGATCTAGATTAGTCTAGATGTCTTATGTCTGGGAAAACGCGTGTTTCTTAAAATTGTACTTTTGGCCGAAAACTCAGAGCAAAGCTCGGTCGCCCAGGTACTACATAATTATTCAAGGTAAGTATAGTTTAGGTTTAGTATTAGGTTTAGAATCGTACCTCACGAATGTGCTTTTGAAGTCCAACAACACCGTAGTTTCTCAATACAAACCAAAGCTTTAGAGCCCTGAAACGACGACTCAAAGGTATTTGCCAATGCTGTAAATAAAATTTCAATAGTTACTTTTTTAACTGTCATTTTTGATATAGTTATCATTTTTTCAACTTAGGATAAAGTTTTAGTTGCTCTATGATGATTGTGAATATTAGATTTTTAATTTACATATAAATAATATTAATAAGTACATCAGCAAATTATATTACCTATTTTTTTCCAATACAACTAAATATGCAACTTTAAGTTTATATAATACTAATAGTAATATTAATAAGCTGTAAATATAAGTTGGTATTGTAATTTATGATTTCAGGGAACGATGGGACTGAGATTTTCGCATTGTGCTTAAAAAGTTAAAACTAACTAATATCTTTTAGTCTCATGTTTAGAATAAGAAGACATTAACATTATTTTTGACTGGTTACAACAGACTTTAGACAAAATAATTTTTATAAATTGATATTTTTATAGGTTGATTCCCCATACATTTATCCCCATTTTCACCTGATTAAGGAATAATTTGCGGAATAAACAATATCCTATGTCCTTTTCAGGGTATCAAACTATCTTCTTACCAAATTTTATCTAAATCGGTTCAGTAGTATTTGAGTTTATTCGTTACCAGCATACAAAAATAAGTCTTTCCTCTTAATAATATTATCGTGTAGAAGTGTAGGTATACATATTATAAAATGATATACGAGTAACCTAACCCAACTCGCACTTGGCCAGCGTGGTGGACTATGGCCTGATCCCCCTCGTATTGAAGGGAGGCCCGTACCCAGCAGTGGCACGTTAAAAAGGGCTGAATACATACATACATACGAGTAAGTTTGAAAAGGTCATTAACAAAAAGCATTAACTAAAAATTATACCTATCACAGTCTTAACTTCTATGTTAATTAAGCTTATCCAATGATTTGCAAACAAAACCATCACCAAAAACCCAACACCTAACAAAAAAAACACATACAAGAAATTCTTTCTTGTCCGGATTTTCTAGCTGTATTGTTTCATTACACTCAGCCGACATTTCGTCAGAGCTATATAACTTTAAATCTTCATCACTCTCATCATCCAATTCTTCACTTGTTGGGTAGCCATCATCACTGTTTGACACACTATCAGTGCGCTTACCACTGATATCAGTACATATTTTTGTACCTTTTATTATTTTTCTCGTATTTGCTTCTTGAGAACCAACCTATGTTTTAATTTAAAATCTTATTTGTTGTTTACAGTTACTATTTGACAGACGTATAAATATGACAAAATTATAAGGTTTCCGATAATGTCTTTTTTAGCAAAAAATAAAACAAACAGTCTAAAATATGTATCAAAAATTGATTATTAAGTACTTGCGGTACAAGCGTGTTTTTCATTTTGGCTAGCTTTTGCTCTAAGGACGAATAACATACATGAGTCAATATACAGAATAATCAGAATTTAAACAAGGGAGAAATTTCGAACTCGCATAGATTCAATACCAGCAAGGTGTCGCTCTTAGTGCTTATTTGTTCAAACGACCAATACTCGATGTACTTTACAGTAGCGAGTCCTTTTCCTCATTTTAAGAATAAAGCTTTATTTCGCAGATTTATATCTATACTAGCGACTGACCCTTGCTTTGCTTGGGTTCGTCCCTAGCTTGATTCCCCATACAAACTTTCATCCCCATTTTCACTCCCTTATGGGATGATTTCCGATATAAAAAGTAGTCCTATGTCCTTTGCAGGGTCTCAAACTAATTTCTTACCAAATTTCATCTAAATCGGTTCAGTAGATCCAGAGATTACCCCCTACAACGTCACAAACTCACAATTCACAAACTTTATCTCTTTATAATATTAGTATAGATATAAATAAAATACATTTTTTCAACTTTATTAAAGTAAAATGTGAATTTAATACCAATAGAATTAAAATTCAAAAGACAATAATTCTATACTCTACTCTTTCTGTAAATTGGTCGTTTGGGCAAATGAGCACTGAGACAATGAAATCGCAAAATTAAGTATTGATCAAAGTATCCTCAAAAAATAATAATTTATATAAAGTTACTGTTAACGGCAAATGTTACTTTAAAAAAACAGTAAGAAATTCTAAATTTCTAAGTTTTGTTTTTCATTGAACTAGAAAAAAATTCATTATCATTACAATTAATCGCAATGAATATAATTATAATATTTTAGAAACTTACCATATAATCGATAGCTTTGCCTGTAAACAAAAAAAGGCTTTTATTAAACCCATATAATAATAACTATTAAGTTTTTGCACTAATGCAAATGCTTTAGTGTTTTCGTGTTCTCTTTTTATTATATATATATACTAGCGGACCCGACAAACGTTGTCCTGTCTACACGTCTTTAATTTGAAAATTTCAAACTTTTTTTAATAATTTTTTGATGAAAATTATTATTCAAATTGTGAATCTAAACCATTCCCAGATCCCCTTGAACACACACAAAAAATTTCATCAAAATCGGTCCAGTCGTTTGAGAGAAGTTCAGTGACATACACACTCACAGAAGAATTATATATATAAATATATATATATATTTATATATATATCCTACTTCCACACATTTTCATCAACAAGAAACTCTAGTGAAACGTAAGCGCTTGTACATCTGAGGGTTCAAAGATTCACAGATTTCTAGCTAATAGATCATGGAGAAATAGAATGATGCACGTATAATTTAATTAAATAAATGAAACATTACCAGAGTTTTCATGTCGCAAGTAAATCGGATTAACGTTGAACGTCCGATGTAGGGCAGTACTGTCTTTGACCCTGAAAGCATATATTGTTTCATTAGGATTCACGTGCTTCCTTATTTCTTCTGTTAGATTAAAATTCTTTGAGGTTTCCATAATTATTGTTTTAAACAGACGAAAATGATGCTATTGGTCAATTGTAGTGTGAAAAACCAGCATCAAAAATCATGAACATGGATTAATTAAAGTTAAACTATTAAAAATATAGTACGCTATTGAGGATCCATACATCATCCAGCCAATACATTTTATTGTATCACCGAATAACTTTAAATAAATATAAATTAATTAACTTATAAAAAATTTGGTTTGAACGTTTACTACGATTTTAAACTAATTTCGTCAATTAATTTGTAATAACTTTGTATTGAAAGGGAAAAATTGAAAAAAGTTCATTGTAATATCTTCTTCGAGGTTTTATTTATCCAGAACATGGTATGGTAATTTGCTAGTACGAAAATCAATTGTCTATCGATCGAAATAAAACAGATGAGATTCACTTCATTGTTCTATTTTCAATTTTTAATAATATTTAGGCCACATCTAACTAACTATGTATTCCCAAATATATAAGTCAAGGTAGTTTGGTGAGTTTAACATACATATGTTCCCAAGTGGCCGAAATTCGATAATAATCCTAAGAATTTACCTGTAAAAAACTGTTTTAATTTTTTTTATTGATAACAAACACTAAATCTCGTAAATAACAAAGAAAAATCGGTTGAAAAATAGCGGAGAAAAAGGTATTTTACAATCGTTTAGAATTTAAATATCTTACTCACCACATTCCAGTACAATCGAAGTTCACCATCAGCCATTTTGAAGGATTAAATGCGAAGGAATCCGCCAATTCAATACCTTCAAGCCAGTGTCTATAAAATAAACGTTAAGAATGTTACTGTCCAAAATAGGTTATTAAATTTTACATTGTATATATTTGTAATATTTAGTTTTTAGTTAATTTCATTAAAGTTAATCGGTCCGACATCAAAAATAATTTTAAAAAGTTTTTTTCTTTAATTTTTGTATAATTTTTGCTCATGGCTTCACTCGCGGGTTAAGCCTATATCCCATCTTGGGATGAAATCTATGCCCTTGCCAAATTTTATCGAAATTTGTTCATAATTAAACGATAATAATGGCACTTGAAGAAGCGAAAGAGGTACGCTTAGATTGTTGCACTCGCATTTTGCTTTTGCAGATTAAAGTACGTGTAATAAGATACTTGTTATCATCTCCAACGTAGAAAAAATTGCATACGTTAATTACGTCTAAACAAATAATTTGTTGGTTACAGAGTGCTCACTGCTCAGACTTTTTAATGTTGCTAATGCTAGTTGGTGGTTTTCACATAAAATTCGAAAGCTTGTTAGGTTCTCGCAGAGATTTCTTCCTGATGTTTTCTTTAACTGATGTGGTAAAACAGTGAGACGTAGTGCAAGACATAGGTTGAAGGCTATAAGTCACTTCACTCAGTCAATCTCTTCTTAAGTTAATTTTATCCCATCATATCAAAAGATTCTATAGAAATTGTAGTATTATAGGAACTAAAACTAGTATTTTAAATAGTTACCTATATTCGGGACAAACAAAAGCGCTGCCTGCATATGCAGCATCCACGTGCAACCAAGCAGAATGTTTCTCACAAACTTCCCCAATCTCTTTTAAATTGTCGAACGCCACTGAACCAGTTGTACCTAATGTAGCACATACCTAAAACATAAAATATTTTAGTTTTTAAAACTAAATAACGCCTCTTTAAACAAACGTAATATATGGGATAAATCGAAATAAATTTAATGAAAACAAAATCGAAAGTTCAAGATTTTCATTATCGATTTTAATCGATGATTAGGGATGGACAGGTGACATGATATCGAATTATTGTATCATCCCGGTTTAATATCCATATATAAATAGGCAAAGACAAAACAGTTCAGTACATCTTTTTTCAACTATTTTTTTGTTGTTGTTTAGAAGCTACTGGTGAGTGTTAGTATGTTTTTTAACAGTTAGTGTTATTTGTTTCCTTTTTATTTGATTAAATTTGGACCACTGGGCGAACACTAGCAGTACTTACAAAGCTTCAAATCCATAAGAGTATTACAAATAAGTTTTTTTTATTTCTGTTCTGAGGCTATATTGTGTCACTGTGACCATTTCTGGTCTATTGAGATCGCAACACAAAAACAAATAAGTTATAATCGACGTCAAGATTTAATTTCTTAGTTACCATTTGAAAAATAAAGACTTAAGAATATTCGGATTATAAATAAAAAAAAATCGCACTCGATCGATCAAATCGGATCATATTAGGTCAAATTGGAAAACCATATAATTTCGTAATGTTCAACTTGTCCGTAGGCCAAAGTTATTTTACTTGGACTATTTTGTTGTTTAGTAGATACGTGTCTTATGTAAACCGTTAGATGATTCTGTAGTCAAACTATGAAAAAAAATAGGGATGATACTCCATTCATGTACCGGAAGGGTGAAAACAAAAATTTGAATCCACATAAGCGTGCAGAGTATTTCTTATTTCTGATTGTTTACATTTTTTTGATAGTATTCAGTCACAAACGAGCAGACAGCCCACCTGATGGAAAGCGGTACCTGTCGCCCATAAAACCTACCGTTCATGCACTTAGGTTTTTTGTAACAAAACTGTAGAACCGCAGGTGCGTTGTCATCCTTGAAACCGGTACACAACAATGTAATCATTGTTGTTTGGCTGGAGAAATAGATAAGGGGGTGGTACCCATCCAGTTGAACTCCTCAGGCTTGACAGAGTCCGTTAAAAACATGACTTTTTCATACCTAAGGCTTAACCTAAAATACGCGTGAGCAGAGCCGGGGTGGTTGCTAGTGCAAAAGTAAATGCTTTCAGCCGATCTATTTGATATGAAACACGTTGCAAACTGAATTATCTCAGTACACACTTAGTAGAGTAATGAGCTACTGATGAGCTTTCCTTCAGGAGAGCTTATAAGCATATAATCTTACTTAACGATGAAAAAGATTAGAAAAATAGTAAAATTTGAAATTATTTTACAGTTTGTCTATAATAATAATATCTTAGATATCCGCGAATATTTGACGTTTTAAATAAAAATATCTTTTCGGATTTCTTCGCGGATTCATTTTTAATAGCTATAGCGAACCAAAAATCAAAATAAATTTCCCCAAAAATTCGAAAAAAATTATTTTTAAAATAAAAGTTTTATTTTTTGTCTATAATGAGATTTTTTTTAATGCGTATCTCAAAGAATCTGCTATCAGCTGCGTTAGTTTTATCGACACATATAAATAGGCAAAGGCATTTCATTACTTTCTTCAGTAACAGAACAATTCAGAAAATCGAATGCCAAACAGATAAAAGTTATTAAAATATTTTATATTTGCCTCGTTATGTATAGTTTGGTTGAAATTATTTACGTATAAGTCGAAAGGGCTCTTACAATTTCTACTTTGTTAGTAAAACAGCAGCAAATTAAAGTTATGACAACGTAGCGTAATACCCGTCTTGCTTGAGATTTAATCTATTCATAATTGGTCCCACAGAGCGTCTCAGCTGCTTTTAAAAACAGTACATTTACAACCATTATTATTTTCATAATGAAACCTATGGGGAATATTTTAAATATTAATAATGAAGTAAATAAAGTATGTTTTAAGAGATTGCCTGTTATCTATATTAATAAAAATGAAATGGCATTAAATTTGTCTGGAAAATTTGATCGATTTGGTTATTTTTTTTTAATGTTAATTAATAATACACAGAGTAAGGTTTTAAGGGAAAATATGGAAATAAATGACTTTATATGAATTCCAACTAAAAAAAATTAAAAGTTAATTAAATATTATTATTATTGTCTTTTACATGCAAATAGGTTTACCTTTTTAAAAAAATAGCCTAAAAAGTGAATCTGAATACCCATTTTCAATGTTATTTTATTTTTACGTATTTTCTGTACATATATGGTAACCACGCGTATTCATTGCTGCTTAGAAGATTACTTGAGAGTTGGTTTTATAAGTTTTTCTTATAAGTCTAAATATGAGATATTAACTATTTATTGATAACGGATTTTTCAATCGGTAATTGAATATCGTCTACTTCGAAACCAAGACAATATAATCTAGGTTTGTTTAATAAACAAAGTATGTGCAATAAACATAAGGCTTCTAGAGTGTTCTATCTTTCTATACATATAAAAATTAAATAGCGTACGTTTATAACGTAATTTTGTTTAAAAATGTTTACAATAATTATCACACAAGTAAACTTTTCTGGGAAAAATGGGAAAATCGGGATAAGCTTAGTGCTTCACTTTTCTAAAGGATTTTTGTATACCTAAGCTCATGTTTGAACAGAAAAACGTCGGTTGGGTCATGTAATAACTAAACATAATTTAGGGTTACTCACCCAAAAAGGTACCAGTCCTTTTGTTTTATCGTTCATTATAGCCTCTTCTAGCTTCGCTCCACGCATGCTTTGATTCTCATCAGACTCGATATAACGCATCCTTACCAGACCTAAGATAATAGATAGATAAGATACTTTATTGTACACCATAAAGAAATATACACAAGAGAAAATCAACAATAGATGATGCACAGGAGGAGGCTTTATACCTATAAATGACCTCTAAGCAACCTTAGAGCGTAGAAGTAATTATATGAAATGGTAGGCGGTGTACTTGCTATACATAAATACGTATTAAGTAGATGGTTTTGATTTTTTTTTAATTTACTAATATAGACTACTAGCGACTCACCCTAGCTTCGCTTCGCGTTCGTCACTAGACAAAACATATCTATCCCACGGGAACAGTACATTTTTCCGCGATGATATATAGCATTCCCCAATAAACGGGCTATCTAATGCAAAAATAATTTTTCAAATCGGATAAGTAGTTCCTGAGATTAGCGCGTTCAAACAAACAGACAAACAAACTTAGTTTCTTTATTACTAGATATACCAGATAAAAAATGATAATAAATTGTTGCTAGCAATTAAATATTTTATTTTACTATTATATATTTTATTTTATCTCTTACCAATTAATCCAGCTTTTTCCACTGATGAATGAGCTTGATCTGAACAATAGCCTATCAAGTGGCCCAAAAGTTCTGAAGACTGCACATCAGGGTTAAGACTCGAAAGCTCTATCAAAGCTCGAGTACGCGCTGCTAACAAACTAACTAGGGTCGCCTCACTGGCTGTCGTCTAAAATAAATGTTAGAAAATAACTTGTTATAATATGTAATGTACTAACAAAAAATAAGACGTAACACAAAACAATAGACGAATACAACTATTTTACTGGTGACTTTTCTAACGGTAGAGTAGACCGTGAGAGCAACAACATGGTTGTTGTGGTCGGCAGACCTGCCATCCTGTTCTGCCCCATTAAGGCAGGGGGGTTTTTTGGAATTAAGTGCCGGCTTTTCTAGCCGGTGAGTCCCACATAACCAACAGTATGTCTACAGATGATATATGCATTTCCCAACAAAAAAAAGGTTTGCATACGAAAAGATCTATTAAATAGATAGTAAAAATATTATAAGTAATAAAAAAGTGGACACCTGTATAACACCTCCACCGGGACTGTCGTTTTTTTCGTTGAGGAAGCAATCCGGAAGACCTAGCAACTTGCCAAGCCAATTCATCGCAATAGTTTCTAGTTCAGTACCAGCAGGTGAAGATGCCTAAATAAGTTAAGACATTAAGTAGATGACATAAATACATGATTTGTTTAAAGCATTTATCAGACTTTAATAAATGTATACACATTTTTGATCACTTTTAAGTTTGTTACGCGATATCTTCAGAAATTGAGAACCGATTTTGAACCAAACCAAAAAAAAACTAGTTATAATTACTGGCGAGTATTACTTTTTAACCCTCCGACGCTAAAAGACCGCTGTTACTTGTATAAGCGTAACATGTGATCTGTGTATCTGTTTGTATAATCGTAGCACCCAAAGGAATGAATCGAATCAATTTAGTTTTTTTTTATTTGAAAGGTAACTTGATCGAGAGTGTTCATAACTATAATTCAAGAAAAACTATTCAGCCGTTTGCAGGCGATCAGCTCTTCTGTAGACTGTAAAAGATATGAGCAACTTCCACAGATCTAATAGATTCGAAACTTGGTATCCCGTTACTTCAATGACATTGCAATGAAATGGTAACCTTGGTCTGATGCTGCAGCGTTATCTGGAATCTGCAGGATACTCAATTCTTTACCAACATACTACAGAAGTATCTTGTTTAGGCTCATTGAAATTGCGCCTATGTTTGTATTTGTGTTGGAATATTTTTTTATTTTTAACTTAAGAGTTATTAAATGATTTATACGTCAGTATATCTTTACAGTTATATATTTAGAAGTAATATCAAAGCTACATACCTAATATTCATACTTACCCAAGTAAAACACAGTACATTCAAAGTACTCGAAAGCATTTCTCCCATAATTGAAGGGTACGAGGTGAGCGCTGGAAAGTACGCGTGCATATGTGGACTTTGCCAATGAACGATCTGGTAAAAGAAAGAGATAATTAAAGCAAAAAATACTGATGGAGCTATGTCGAGGCACACCACCGTAGACTTAACGTGAAATGTCTATTTCAGCGAGTCACTTTTAGTGTTTTCTTTTTTATAAATTTAGCCCGACCCAAGACTCGAACCCAGTAACTCCGGATCTGCAGCCGTACATTTTAGCCACTAAACCACATAGGCGTTCGATAATTTTCACATTTGTAATAGCAACTATTAAAAATGTAAAAACACACGTTTTGTGTCAAATGACTATCAATAAAATTAATATTGATATTGCTCTGTATGATGCAATATCATCTCCTCGAACGGCAACAGAAGCTACCATCTTTTGTACCAACTTAAAATATTTTACACGTATTGTTTCATCAATGTAGGTATATGTTTTTTCAAAGAATTTATTCTATTATGATTATAATTTTATTTTTAAAGTAATCTTACACCAGGCATAATATGATCTTCCACATCTTTAAAGATGTCGTCCCATTTTTCAGGCATCTGCGGTGCTTCAGTGGGCAGCCTCTTGTGGAGATAACCAGGCTGGACCCCGGGGTAAACTCGGTGATCCCGAATATTTTCTAAATAGTCTGCCATGAAGTCCACCAACTCTTTGGCTAAGAAATATAATAGCAAATCTATTAGCAAAATGAAAATCCACTTAAAAGGTACTTTCTTAACAAGAACCAAACAAAACTATCTTTTCTATTTTTTTACGAATATACCTTTTTAACCAACTTCCAATAAGGAGGAGGTTCTCAATTCATCGGGCCGACAATATTTTAAGATATGAATATCTCATAGGTAAATATGTAAATATATTAGATTTGTTTTGCATCGGCTGGCACCGACTTCGAAAATATCTGATTAGGTATCTATTCTAAATAAAAACCTCCGTTTAGTTATTTTTTATATTTTAGTGCCTGGAAGTCGTTTTTTTTTAAGTTTTACGTCACTATTCGTGAACATGATCGCTGTAAAGCATTATAAACGTTGGGAATCAAAAATCTAAATAAATTTGCGAAAAATACGAAAAAAAATATGTCAAAAATTCTCCAAAAGTATCATACATTTACACTGTATAATTTGTAATAAGAAACAAAACGAACAAAGCTATTACACCGTCTTGTGAACTAAAAAATATTGAAATGGAAATGTAATTTTATTCAGTATGACTTATAGAAGGACTTTAATTTGCTACAACTTGATTTAAAAATAATCAGTGTGAATCTTCTCAGAAGAGGTGGAAAACTCAACAGTTGCGTTCTTAAACAACAAACTATAAAATTTTTAATACAAAAGATATTAAAAATAATATTGTATTGACGTTTTTCTTTATGGCATTAATTACAATAATAACACGAAGACGAATGACGACTTTTTAGGGTTTCGTAGTGTTCGGTAAAAACCTTTGAACCGAACATGTTCGGTCCAAAGGTTTGTACCGAACACGAAGACTAAAGGTAAAAATGGAAGCCTTGCTTTATATAGTTTCTTATCTAATTCATCTCAGGAATTTAATCTCAGGGACTACTAATCCGATTTGAAAAAATCTTTTTGCATGAGATAGCCCGTTTATTGAGGAAGGCTATAGGCTTTATATCATCATGCTACTACCCAGGGAGCGGAGCAGTAATCTATACATATAATAAAATTGTAACTAAGCCGAATGTGTACATTAAATATTTTTGAAATTTTTGTATTGAAATAGACATTATTATCGACACAGCGGCCGAATGTATAGTTTTTAGAATTTTTGTCTGTCTGTCTGTTACCGCATCACGGAAAAACCACTGGAGGGATTTTGATGAAATTTGGTATGATAGTAGCTTATCGGATCAACATATAGGATACTTTTACCGCGGGAAGATATCTCATTTTTGAAAAAAAATACAAAATCTGCAATGTAAGATAATACTAATATGTAAAACCTAAGAATTTGGTTTTTGATCATCTGAACGTGGGCGGAGCCGCGAGCAATGCTAGTATATTATATTATAGTCTAGCTATTCCATACCAACCGTTAAAACGTACTTAGAATTACAAACACGATATAGAATATCTTATAAATAAATTAATATCATAAATGCTCATCTGTCCGTCTTTCAGTCTGTCCGTAGTATGTTACAGTCATTTTACTCGGATACAATTGGACTAGATACATGACTGAAATTTGACAAATAACTATCTCATCAATTAAATATTTATACAGTCAAATTACTAAAAATAAAATATGTGGGTGGCATTCAAGTTTTAACGTAAAAAAATTGAGTCCGCTGAGTGTCTTTCTGGATAAGTCTTTAAAATAGAGATTAGCTACTATTATGTTTATTTTGAAATTTATAACATTGCATACAAAAAAAATTTTTTTCCTTTTAACATTACATATAATTATACACAATATACTAAAACATAACAAAAATATTACATGCTACGGAATCCTCGATGGGCGGGTCAGACTTGCCCTTATTTAAAAAAAAATTGTTATACCTATTATATCTATTAATGCCAGTCAAGAGAGACTTCTATTACGAGTGACAATCGAACTTGTGACCACTAACATAATTAATGTGTTAAAATTTAATCAAGCTCTACAAATTTAATTATCAAGTTAGCCACAGAAGGCGTTTGTTGAAAAGATACAAAGAACATGTAAGTGAACTCGAGTAAAAAAAACCTTTACTCATCTAATTAAAATGTTGATTACTTCAACATTTCTTGAAGGATATTTATTTATAGAACTTTTTTATTAGAAAATAAGTTGCATTTCAATGGCTCTTTAAGCTATAACGTATTAGTTGTAATTTTGAAAAACTAAAAATCTTGCCTTTTAATATCTATAATGTATGGGATTTGTCAAAACATTCCATATGGGGTTTTAATAGTGGTCATGGAAAAGTCCACAATCGACTTCCTAGTTCCATGATCAGACCAGTTCAATAATAACATTATAATATAATCAACCGAGTTTCAAAATCGACTTCTTATGTTTAATGACATAATTAAATTTATAAGTGAGTCTAACAAAAATATTATCAAAATATTTATTATAAAAATCCATACATATATTATAAATGCGCTTTATGGTTTTCTTTTTTCCTTTTGAACTATGGAACCCTAAAAATGACTTTTGCTGTGTGCTACAAATAACAAAAACTATTTTAAAATCTCGTTATATCTAGTTCAGTTCTACTTTTCATAAGTTAGTTATCTTCCCACTGCTGGGCACTGGTTTTCTTGTAATGCGAGGTAGGTCATGCCATATTCCATATTCCATATGCCATATTATATGTGGGTTGGCAGTATTCACAAGTCCATCCTTCAAGAACTAGTTAGGTTCTGTCAGACATACAAGTTTCATCACGATGTTTTCCTTCGCCGTTTCAACAAGTTGTAATCTTATTGGAAAGAAGTGCGAGACCCGTGTTTGAATCTGCTTCACTTGGTTGGTTGGGTTGGTTTTTGAAACGAGCAAAACCACTGAGCTACCGAAGTCCACTGCTCAAAATTTGATAAGCTTAATTACAATTAATTTATGAACTGAATTTACAATAACAGTTAATGACTTTTCCATTTTGCTAATTACAGTCCAAATGAAACATATATAATTTAATATTAATTACATAACTAATGATTACTTACTGATAACGTGTCATTTATAATACTTAGAAGTAAATCCGAAGGCCACTAATAGATAATATCATTTTTTTACTAAACATTGCCCTTAAAGTCACTTTAAAATTAAATATTTTACTTGTAAATAATAATGTTTTTCTTACAATTGATGTGGGACTTGATTTACTTGTGATCCCTTATCGCCGTTTCTAGTTAATAGTAGCGCCACCTGTTGGCAATTTTTATTACAAACAATAGCATAAGTATTACCACAGATTATATAATACTATACTGTATTACTTCGAATCTATAGTCTATATAATAAATTTCATCTAGATTTGTCCAGCCGTTTTTGCTTGAATGCAGTGGCGTAGCTATGCCAATGTAACCAATGCGGTCGCATGGGGCTCTTGATTCAAATAGGCCCCACCGGGCCACAAACGATTCTTTTATTTCATAATACTTTTTCGAGAACGGCCCTCATAAAAGTTTAAAAAAACCGCAAGAAAAAGTTCCTAAATATCCACATGTTAATTTTTACGAGAACCACGAGGGATGTGATCCTATCTATCTTTATATATATAATTCTTCTGTGAGTGTGTATGTCACTGAACTTCTCTCAAACGACTGGACCGATTTTGATGAAATTTTTTGTGTGTGTTCAAGGGGATCTGGGAATGGTTTAGATTCATATTTTAAAAAATAATTTTCATCAAATTTTTTTTTAAAAAAGTTTAAAATTTTCAAATTAAAGACGTGTAGAGAGGACAACGTCTGTCGGGTCCGCTAGTGTTCTATAAAACGATGAATGATTCTCTAAGCTCAGCTTTTTTACTAAATTTTAGTCTACCCGTTCTTCTGTGTGAGCGGTTTGAAAAAAGTGATGGGTTCGAAAAATGTCTGTGTCATATTCAAGTAGCTAAATAAGAGTACGGCAGGGCTCACACTGGTTTTAAGGGGGCACTTCCGTTTATTTGCATTGGGGCCCAAAAACGCTAGTTACGCCACTGCTTAAAGGAGTACCTAACATTCATACATACATACAAATTTTCATATTTATAATACAATTATTGATCAAAAAAAAAGTCATACAAATAGCTGAGATACTCTGTAACAAACAATCATACACATCGAAATCAATACCTACTGCTTTCCAGTACACATTTTAAACATTGGCTTGCAATATTTCTTAAAGCCAGTATCATTGCGAAGTAATACATTGAAAGTTAGTTTCGAAGCGTGAATCGTGTCGTTATTGTTTATCCTATAAGCCTATTTATAGGATGCAGACTTTATTGTTCCCTTTGATTCCTTAGTTTATGGCTTCATATGTGTTTGAATTCATTGAACTGGGTAAATTTGATTTTATTGCGAAATAAGTAAATTTTTAGGATTTCGCTACAATATATAATTGTGTGTTGAATGATGGCAATTTTTTCTATGACGAAAGGATAAAAAAAGTACAATCTGACAGATTATTGATAGCGTAAATTAATTTTAGGGGTAAAAAAATAATTTTAAAGGAAATTAGAGGATTTATTAAAAAATATATTTATAACGCATAATCCATCAGCTATACTGATATTATAAAGCTCGGTAAAGTTTGTGAGTTTATGACGTTGTAGAGGGTAATCTCTGGATGTACTGAACCGATTTAGATGAAATTTGGTAAGAAGATAGTTTGAGTCCCTGGGAAAGATATAGGATACTTTTTATTCCGGAAATTATTCCTTAAGGGGGTGAAAATGGGGGGCAAATTTTGCATTGGGAATCAATATCTATATATAATAATCACTATTCGTGACCTTGTAGGGAGTAATCTCTGGATCTAATGAACCGATTTAGATAAAATTTGGTAAGAAGATAGTTTGAGACCATAGGAAAGGACAAAATATGCTTTTTATCCCGGAAATCACCCCTTAACGGGGGTGAAAATAGGGATGAAAATTTGTATGGGGAATCAGAGTTTGATTCCCCATACAAATTTATTCTGCAATATATA